ATATAGACTTTGCTTGTCACATATTTTTCATTACTTTTTAAAATAATTTTTTGATATAAAAAATTTAGTGCAAAAATTTTTATACTAAAAAATTATTTTAAAAAACTGCTGAAAAAATTAGCCAAATAAAATCAAAATTTTCTTTCAAATTTTAAACTAGTCATGTTTTCAAGCATTGTGAGGCTCAATTAATATATAATTTTTTTACACTATTTCATTCAATATTTTTTTGTAACGCTTTTCAATTTTAAGCACGTTTTTGAAAATTATGATTAGTGTGCTATAGTCACATAATTAATATAGTCAAAAGTGATGAGATGATGATTAATAACATATAACAAAACAGAGAAAGTGGAGCAGCAAACCAAATCAAAACCGTTAATATCAACAAACCTTCTCATCCACACCATATACTAAGGGTAAAGTTACCTTAGCAGCCTTAGTTCTATACGAAAAGGCAAATAGTAGAATGTATTAGTGTGCAAGAAAATGAAATATCCTCTGTGCAAAAGTTGAGCCTCCATAGCCTTTACCTTTTCTCATTAAGAACATACTGTTCTAAGCTTTTAGCTTTACTGTTTCACTTTGCTTTATGGGCATCAGAGCATTCAAAATAAAATGCATTCAAACAGATAGTGTCATCAAATATACAAATCACAATTTCCAAACGGTTCTACAAACCCATATGGCATTCACCACCAACTTAGATGGTCATATACACTCGAGCAAAACGGTCTTGCCGAGCGCAAACACCACCACCTAATAGAAACAACCCGAACCCTACTCCATACCGCTACATTGCCTTTTCATTTTTGAATCGAGGCACTCGTAACAACAACCTATTTAATCAACAGAATGCCATACGCAAACATGAAGAACAAATCAACTATCCAACTACTTTTCAAACACAAACCAGATTACTCCCACCTCAGAACTTTTTGTTAAGTTTGTTACCCATTACTTCCCCCGCATCAAAGACACACACTATCACCCGAAGCCCCAATGTGTAGCTTCGTTGGCTACTCTAACAAGTACAAATGTTACAAGTGCCTAAACCCAAACACCCGCAAAATTCTTATCTCATGACACGTTCAATTCGACGAATCTACATTCCCATTCAGCACACTCACCCCCACCAAACCAATAATTTCCAACACCATACCAAACCAACCATCTCTACTAATCCCTATTTCATACAACCAACCAACTCCCATCCACATATCCACCAACACTTCACCAAATATCAATCTCAAACCTACTAACCAAAACAACCAAAGCCTAACGGACTTCCCCACAACCTCTGTTGATACAACTCTCCATGAACCTATAAACTTACCATCTCCCTTACTCACACATTCAAAACCCCTCATCTCAACCTGTCACCTTATGACTACAAGATCTCAAACTGGCTCTCTTAAATCAAAGCATATATTCACTCTTTTTCATCATACATCAGCCCAACAGACCCCACTTCCTTCTCCCAAGCAATAAAACACTCCCATTGGCATCACGTCATGGTCGAAGAATTCCATGCTCTAGAAAAGCGAGGCACATGCAACTATTCCCACCTCCATTTGATCGTAACATACTAGGCTGTTGGTTGGCATTTCAAAGAAAATTTCACCCATGGCGATATAGCTCATTACAAAGCGAGATTAGTAGCACAAGGTCACCATCAAGAGCATGACATTGACTACCTAGAAACTTTCAGCCCTGTAGTTAAACTACCAACCATCCACATTCTTCTCATAATTGCTCTCACTAATTAATCGCATATGCACCAACTTGATGTGGCCAATGCTTTTCTTCATGGCTCCCTAACCAAAATAGTCTATATGTATCAACCCTAGAGCTTTATTGACAATCAATTTCCCAATCACGTATGTCGTCTCTGCAAATCCATCTACGACCTTAAGCAATCACCTCGCTAATGGTTCAACACCTTTTCCAGCTACCTAATAACTTTGGGATTTCACCAAAGCAAGGCTGGCCCATCCCTACTCATCTACACAAATCATCTCGTCGCCATCTATTTAACTTCTTAGTAACCAGCAATGAACATATAACCATTCCCCCACTCATCCACAAACTGAGCTACAAAATTTAAATAAAACATCTTGGTCCTCCCTCCAACCACCTCGTCATACATATTTCAACACAACCCAATCATATCTTCCTATCGCAATCCACATATGCAACATCTATACTCACAAGGGCATGAATATCATCATGTAAATCATTATCTACACCAACACCTACCAAACTACCTTCCAAAATCACGCAAGCATCACAACACTTGGCAATTATCTGTATCGACATCTCATTGGATCCCTTCAATATCTCACTCTAACTCGACCTGATATCGCATTCTCTGTTAACCAACTCAGCCAGCACATGCATCAACTCCAAAACACTCTCAGCAGCTCAAGATACTCCTTTACATGCAGCTTAACAATACAACCAGGCCCCTTCCATCTTACTACATACTGCAATGCCGAATGGGCTCAAGACCTCCTCACTCGCAAATCAACTATAGGCTTATTCTCTTACCTTGGCAATACTCTAATAGCATGGCAAGTTAAGAGGCATCAAACCATCGCCCAATCATCCACAGAGGCCGAGTACAGGGCTTTAGTGGCCGCAACAGCAGACATTTTTTGGATTAAGAAACTACTTCAAGACTTCAACATCCCTACGTCCACACCGACATACATCTATTGCGATAATATTTTTGCAATCACACTCACCAACAACCCGGTGTATCATGCCTGAATAAAATACATCAAAATAGATCATCACTTCATTAGTGATCACATTAATTCAAATACTATCAAAGTTTTACCTATCAACTCCTAGGATCAAATAACGAACATCTTCACCAAACCACTATCCACAGTTTGCTTTTAACTCCAGAATTCCAAATTGAAGGTTCAACAGCCACCATATGTTTGCAATGGCGTAATAACATCATCGGACAAAACAAAGGAAGTGGAGTAGCAAACCAAATCAAAATCGTTAATATCAAGACATGTAAAGTGTAAAGTTACCTTAGCTGCCTTCGTTCTCTACAAGAAGGAAAGTAGTATAATATAATAGTGTGTAAGAAAAATGAAATATCCTCTGTGCAAAAGTTGAGCCTCTGTTGCCTTTACCTTTTCTCATTAAGACCTTATTGTCTAGCGGCGATCGGAGGTCTGACAGCTACCTACGGTGGGGTGGTCTAGCGATGATTGGTGGAGGTTCATCAATAGTGGTGTTGGAGCCTTTAAAGCCTCGGAGCTCTCTTTCTAAATGTGCTTAGGATCAACAATTTGGACTCATTTGAGCTCGAATTGGATCAATTTTGACGTCGTTGAATTTGTCTATTCAAGATATTTAATTTGATTATAGTACATCTACTTCAGACCACATGAACACCTTCATTCAAATTTATTACTGTGGGGGTACTATGACCTCAATTCATTTATTTTAATTTATTTATGTGGGGGTATGGTGACCTCCACTCAAACAAGATTTGCTCAACGCCACATAATTTAGATTAATTATTCTGTGCGGATACTGACTGTCGTCCAGAAATCAACTAGAATGCACCGTGCCACCCTTTGCTCAATAGCGTGGCTCGATACTGCTCGACAACGCGGCTCGATAATACTAATGTTAGGGATGCAAGGAAACCAAATGTTCGACGAGCTACTCGTTGTTCGGTTCGATTAAAGCTCGTTTGTGATCGTTTAATTAGCTAAACAAACAAACTTGAATAATATTTTAAATACTTGATTCTTAAATAAACAAACTTGTACACTAATGCGTTCAGCTCATTTATGTTCGCGAACAACATCATTTGAAGTTCGTGAGCTCGACATTAAGCTCAATAAGAAGCTCGATAAAAGCTTGATTCGTGTTCTATTTTGAAATCGTGAATAAGCTAGATAAAAATAATTAACATTTGACTATAAAATTAATAAATATAAATAAACATTGCCTTTGTTACATAGACAATTGTTTTTATTATAAATGTGTTTTTTCATAGATATGTTCATGAACATATTTTTTTGATAGTTAAAAAAAAAATTCATTAAATATGTTCGCGAACAAGCTCGATAAGCACTAAACGAACGAACATGAACGAACGAACATGAACGAACGAACATGAATTTAAATGAACCAAACATGAACACAAACAATAAAGCTCGAACAAACATGAACCAAACTTGAACAAGCTGATATGAAATGAACACAAACATGAACACTCACATACTCGGCTCGGCTCGTTTGCAGCGCTAACTGACGTGACGCATTCTGGTTGGTCTCTAAATGACGTTCTACGTTCAATCTCCGCACAGAATAATTTCTCCATAATTTGAAGTACATAATCAAAATATAGATATGCAATACCGCAGTAATTACCAAGTTTTAAAGAACAAAAATGGAAGGGAAGACATTGACAAAAAGGGATTGAAACTTGTATTAATATTTTGAATGTGTTTGTATGAAGAAATTTAACAAGGATTAGATGATTGATATATTATTAACTAATTTCTGCCTCACTGTCACAAATACCTACTCTAAGAGCCATCTGCAAGTAGCAAATGGGTATTAGCTCCATGAACCCTATCAACAGAATGAACTGGTAGGGAAAAAAAAACATTAGTTGATATATGATGTATACAAGATTTGCTTAACACCACATAAATTAGATTAATTATTCTGTGCGAATGCTGAATGTCATATGAAGACCAACCATAATGCACAACATCACCCTTTGCTCGGCACTGCAACTGGTATCTCTAACGTGGAACATTCTAATTGATCATCATATAGCTTTCTACATCCGGTCTCCACACAGAATAATTTCTTCATAATTCGAGGTACATATTCAAAAAATAGATCCGTGATACTGCAGTAATTACCAAATTTTAAAGATAAAAAATGGAAGGGAAGACATTGACAAAAAAGGGATTGAACTTGTATTAAAATTTGAATGTGTTTGTATGAAGAAATTTAAGAAGGATTTAGATGATTGATATATTATTAACTAATTTCTGCCTCACTGTCACAAATACCTACTCTAAGTGCCATCTGCAAGTAGCAAATGGGTAGTAGCTCCATGAACCCTATCAACAAAATGAACTGGTAGGGAAAAAAAAACATTAGTTGATATATGATGTATACCAGTCCATCTTCAAGATCACAAACTCCTCCCTATCTTTGCAAACCTTCTGGCAACACCAAAAATGACCGCCTTGGTGAGCAGGCCTCGATCAAGTGTACATGCAAGCGCCACAGCCCCGCCAACTATAAGAAACTTAGGCAAATTGCTCCCCCAAGGCTTCTCCTTCTCCTTCTCCTTCTCCTTCTCCTTCTCCTTTTCAGCGTCTACTATGTCTTCTGATGTATCATTGATGCTTCCCAGTGATCTCAGACGCCCAGAAGAAATCTTTGTGTTAATTTGAGCGATTTCTGCATAACGGGACAGAGGCTCGCCAGATTTTCTTGCTGCCTGGTATGAACGAAGTCCAGATTCGACCTTTTTGACGCAGCCCCACATGCCTTGTCGAACACCAAGTTTTGCAAGTTCCCATGGAATGCCCATGTCTTCATAATGGAATAGAAGCACCTCACAGGCGGTTTTCTGGCCATCACCACGTCGTGACTCAACTGAAATAACATGGAGGTAAAAGTTTGTAAATGGCTCCAAAACAGAAATTTTCGGGAATTAGAACTCATGGGGAATACTGAAAAGAAGTCGTGAGGTTTACCTGAACGAATGCACCAGCTAGAGTAATATAGGTCCACCCGCCTTGGTTTGTTTTGCCGAGGTAAAGAAGGAAATGGAACGCCCTAAATCATGAATGAAGTGAGGCTTGAGCAAATTATAGCAATTCAAGAGGGTAGTTCAATGAAGCAGAGAAAATATCGAATGAACAAATGCAAAGTGGTTCAGTTTAAAAGAATGCATGATTGTAACAGGAGGATTACTCATATAGAAGAAAGCTACTAGAGTAGTTGACCCAAACTAAGGGTTCATTTGGAATATCTTTTTAGTATAAAAATAAACAAATTTGCATCAGAAAGTTGCTTTAAGAAGCAGTAAGAAAGCTGTCCCAAACAAAACTAATATGTAACATGACTTTTTTTTTTCAACTTTATCTACACAGCATTCAACTGGGAATTCATAACAACTATGTCAAAAAATCTCATTAATCAAATCAATGAGATGACCAAAGAAAGCTTACAAAGGAGTGAAGGTAAGAAGAATAATTGATGGTGCTAAAAATACTACATTTTTTATGCTAAGCAGAGTGGAAAATACTAATAAAGTAACATATGGGCGGCGCACTCTTTGATTATTAAAACTTACCCTGAAATCATTTCAAGCATACAAAGGTGTCAACTACTTCTAAAAAGTAGTTGACAGATTCAAGGATTACATAATGTGGATATACTGTCCAAGCACCAAGGAGACTAATTTTTTGTGTGGTCAATTTATAATCATCACATCAATCACATATAAAGCATAATCCTCTTATATGCTACTTATGTTCAGATCACCGGTGCAGTGTCAAGAGCAAAGCATAGAAGCTCAATCACCGGTCCATTAGAGGGGTAATTATTCCGTCCGGAGTCCGGATGGTAAAGAACCGTCCGGATGTGAGCATATACTGTGTGTATACGTATGTACAAATTCTGTATACACTCACATCCAGACGGTTCTTCACCATCCGAACTACGCTCAGAATAATTTCTCCAATTACAGGGCTACAGCACCACAAATTACAATTGAGTTTCTTTCTAGTTTCTTCTCAATGCAAGGCAGCAGAACTCACTACAAGATATGATTCACAACTTTATGTCACCTCTACTTCAGCCTTTCACACCTTTGCGTCACTTTAACTTCTAATTTTAAACATTATAGCTACTTTAGTTAATATTTAAATCTCACATCATGTTTCTTTTTTTATTTTAAAGGTGAGCTCCAAAATGAAATTTGTTGGAAATTAAGGGTGCATTTGAGTAAAAAAAAAAAGGTGCATTTGAGCACGGACAGGCAAGAATGAGAGAAATCTCCCAACCACTTAAATCATGCTATCTTCATTTTTTAAATTTGAATTCAAATTGAAAATTACAACTATTTTATTCAACAAAATTATCACATCATGCATATCATCACTTTTAAATTTGAATTCAATTTTTTTTTATTGATTTTGATTTAGTTCCTAAACTTTAATCCACTTAACTCCAAGTTGATTCTATAAAGTAAAACCAATCTGTCATCCCATCCCTTACAATGCAGGGGTGACAACTAATTCCTAACAGAGCTTAGGCTCTTAATTTTCCCAAACCAGTAGTTCCTAAAGGAAATTAATGGACAATCGAGAATGTGGTTAAACAATAAATATAGAAATGTTATATTATCAGAACAGTATAATTTCCCATTCTCTTTAGTTTATTCACCAAATAGATAAAACAAGATTATGCTATGCAGGCCATCACAATTTTGAGCTATAACGAAGGTTTCTCAGTCATAATGAAGGTTGTAAATTATGTAGTCCTAAGCAAAGTACAATGGTACCAAAATACACTAAGGGGCTGTTTGGTAGCAAGACTTAGGCTGGATTTGAGATGGATTTGAGCAAAATTCAGCCAAATGACCTAAAATGCAAAATCAAATCTCCAGGCAAATGAAAGCCGCCGTAGACAGAAAATTCCGCCTTTTCGTGCTAAATCCCGGATTTCCGAAATCCTATATTTTTTGTCAAATTTACGAAATCCATTGGCTAGAGGAAAAGTCTGCTCATTAAATCCGCTATATAGCCAAAAAGTAACACGGAATTTAATAACATTTATCATGAATGTTACCTAACATTTTTCAAGATTTAGACCCCTCAGGATTTCCGAAATCCGGATTTACCGAATTTACGAAATCCTACTTAAATCAAATCCTGGGTGCTACCAAACAACCCCTAAATATCATAGTTCATGCCATGCTTTAAAAAACATGAGCGCAGCCCCTCATAAGTACATCACAGCTAACTAGTTCGGCTCTTTTGTGAATGTCACAACGGAGAGACAAGTGAACTGTATGTTACTCAACATACCTTTGTCACACAATAATAAGCTCCATCTACTTCCCAAATCCTTCGCCCAATGGTGTACTCCCTATCACTGCAGAAGAAGGGGAACTGCAACACATGCATTGAGAAACAAAATGAGGAAAAGTAGGAGATATAGCTACCCATCCGTAGCCCAGTCTGTAGCAACACAGAAATCTCACCTTTCGAACCCAATGAACCGTCATTGTTCCGGTAACCAAGCATTCCTCCAATTGCGACTGATACAAAAGCATATCATCCCACTTGTTCTTTATCCGGAACTCATCATCCCAGAAAAAGTCCCTCACAAGTTCAGGCGTTGCATCCTCAAATACAGATCTGGTTCGATACTGTGGAGGACTCGTCTGTAGTTAAAACACACAAAAGTAGAATAAATCATACATAAATTCACCTAAACACACCCAAAATAGAAACTTTAATTAAACTGCAGTGAACAGAAATGAATCAAACCTCAGGGTCTCTGCGCCAAGCTTGATAGCTCATGGTTGGCGTGCTCTTTTCCATCATACGAATCCAAACAGGTCCACCATCTGTTGTCTCAACAAGAGCAGAAAGGTTTTGCAAATCGTCGAAATTCACCACCAATTCCTTCTTAACCAGATGCGGAGGGCTTCACAATTCATAAGAAACGCATAAGCACATTTATCTAAAAAGAAAAACAAATCATAGCTCTTCAAGAAACCCACTTACCTCAAGTCATCAACAACCTTCTCTCCTTTCTCACGTATCTGCTCAGGCATCAGACAAGTGAGGTAGCTCGGAATCTGAGCCCTCAAAGAATCCAAACTCGGCAGAGCCAGCTGCAAACCGCAACCGTAAGAGTTCGCCCTAGGTTTCATCTGATGATCATCATCGGAACACCCTTTCTCTTCACCGACCATCCCAGTCGCCCACCTTGGCTTCCACGCCCATCCAACCACTAGTCCAACAAAAACTGCAATCCATAGTGGCGCGGCGAAAAGAGTCAGCTCCGAAACGATGTCTCCAATCGTCGGCTTCCTCAGAATCTCAATTAGGGCATCCAAAATCAGCGCCATAAAGAAGAAAACGTGAATTTGCCACCGGAAAAAAAAAATTAAAACTAAGATTTTGCCAGCGACGAGTCGATAGGGTTTCCGGCAGCAGTCTTCAGGATAACGAAAAACAACTACAAATAAGCTGGGGTTGGAGAGAGAATATTTGGATAAACTCAAGCGAGGAGAGATAAGGCAACAGTGAGGTTTCGGATAAGGATTTCGAGGAGCCGACGTGTGCAGGATTTCCGTAGCTCAGCCGCGATATCTTCTCCCGCCGCTGCTAATTCTGGCAGAATAATCTGTCAGCTGGAAGAAAAAATCTTTAGAAATGGAGACACAGCGGCAGAGCAAAAAACCAACAGGCCGTAAATTTTTTTTTTTTTTTTTTCAGTTTCTGATTTTTTTCTTGGAAAAAACAGAAGCCTGGGTTCAAGCGGGAGCATATCTCTTTATTTATAGTAAAAAAAAAATGACGCGTAATACTTATCATAGTCCACTCGCCCGCATGCGACCAAGACTAGCGACCAAGCAACCGTCCTTATGGACGATAGCGATTGTGCGCAATTGGAAATGGACGGTGAGTAATATTGGAGTTGGAAATGGGGACGGTGGGTAATATTGGAGTCGCAGGCGGGATAATCCGCATGGGGTCAACGAGTTGTAGAGCGTGTTCTCGTTTAGCACGTTGGGTTTGGTGAACTCGTGCCAAGTAAAATTCGTAATTGGACCCTTGCTTTGTTGCTTATGTCATTATATCTTTTTGGAGGGGGTTAAATGAAAACTGATGCTAAATATAATAGTTAAAAAACTTTTAACAGATTAAAACCTGAAGCTAAGATAAATACGGCATAAAAAAAAAGTATGAACAAATGAGAAAATATAAAAGAGGTCAAAAGGGGTCCATTAATTTGCACTTAATTCATTTTTAATAATCATAATTAAAAAGGAATTAGTTATTTTGTTTGAAAAGCATAATATCAGAGTTTGGATGACGCAAATTTGAGCGAGAGATTATTAAGGAAAATTCTAATAAATGGAATTTCATTACAATCATATCTTTAGATTTACAATAATATACTAGTAAAAATTTTAGGAATATAATATTTTTGCATCCACCATTTTTTTTGGTAAGTTGAGAGAGCTTCGACACTGGGGCTCTCAGGTACGAATTTTTATTGGGTGCGGGACGTAGCTCTACGTCCGGAGTCCAATAAAATCACAACACTTGTCATGTACATGTGGATATTAATTTATGATTTGTTTTTCATTTTTCTTGCTAGCCTGATCGACCCGACCCAAAATATTCATGTTCAAATTTAGGGTTTTGAAAATGACGCTCTTTTTTAAAATGAAATGCCACGAAATATCTATATTTTTTAGGATTTTCACTCAAAAAATATTTTATAGCTGGTGAGAAAGAAGAAACGAGGAAAAGCCGATGAAGTTTACGACTGGTTTGGTGAAGGAAAAGCCGATGAAGATGACGACTAATTTGGAGGAGGAAAAGTAAGTGAAGATAAAGATGAAGACTTGATTGGATGTCGAGAAGCCGGTGAAGATGAAGATTTGTTTGGAGGAGGAGAAACCGATGAAGATGAAGACTAGTTATGAGGAGGAGAAGCTGATTAAGATGAAGACTGATTTGGAAGAAAAGTCGATGAAGAAACGAGGAATAATAAATTTTTATGTACACTTGGCGAATATGTAGTTTTGAAGTATTATTTGTATATTGATAGTTTTTTCATGTACACTTAGGAGGAAGATGAAGATGCTTTGTTGTATTGATATTTTTTTCCTTTCCAGATGACTATTGGAAAAATAAAGAAAAGCACTTTTGTGCTTTTATTTATGTGACGTTTTGTTTATTTTGAACTCTCACTACTAATGCTCATTACCCATTTGTACCAATGCTCAGTACTACTCATTACCGCTCAGTACTGTTCGGTACTCCTCGGTACCGAGTGGTACCACTTAGTATCAATGCTCAGTACTGCTCGGTAACGAGCGGTACTACTCAGTAACAATGCTCAGTACTTCTCGGTACTGCTTGGTACCGCTTGGCACCAATGCTCAGTACTTCTTGGCACAGTTCAGTATCGCTCGGAACAGCTTAGTACTGCTCGGTACCGCTTGGTACCGCTCGGTACTGCTCGATAATGCCTAATATTTCTCAATAAATACTACTTGGTACTTCTAAATAATTATGTATTTCTTAATGAGATTTCTTACATCCAAATCAATATGATTGTTTCTTACATCTGAATCAATATGATTGATACACAGCGGTACCGAACATAATTTTTCCCTTAATATCAATTCAATGTTTATACCGATGAACTCTTAGTACAATGCTCTGTACCATTCGGTACTGCCCGATAATGCCCGATATTTCTTAATAAATACTACTCAATACTGCTTGATATTTCTAAATAACTATGTATTTCTTAATTAGATTTTTTACATTAGAGGCAATATGATTGTTTATTACATCTGAATCAACATGACTGGTACACAACATATAAACAAGTAGCGAAAGCTTTAAAATTTATGTAACACATATTTGTGAAAAGGTTGAGAATGCTTTAAAATGAAAAGAAATATTAAAGAAGCATGTGTTCTCCCACAAGGGCATATAAGCACTGTGCTTTACTACTGCAAATCATGGAGTATAAACAACTTGCAAACTTTGAAAACAAACGAAACTTCAGGTCGAACCCCACTAGGGGGCGCTGCCCCCTTGGACCCCTTCCCCTCGTGGGAGAACACATCGGAATCCCCAACATATTCCCTTAATGTACATAAAAAACTAGCATTCCTTCAACTTGTTCTTCTTTCAACTTCAGCTATTTGTTTTCCACTTCATGGACGTTTACAGAGTGTCATCTTCATCGCTTTTCTTCCTCCAAACCAGCGCCATCTTCACCGGTTTTTCCTTGTTTCCTCTTTCTCAGAAGCTATGAAATATTTTTTGAGTTGAAATCCTAAAATAATATAAACGTTTCATGGTATTTCATTTAAAAAAAGAGCGTCAATTTCAAAACCCTAAATTTGAATCGGAATATTTTGGGCCAGGTCGGTCGGCCTAGCAAGAAAAAAATAAAAACAAATCATACATTAATATCCATATGTATAGGACAAGTGTCGCAATTTTATTGGACTCTGGACGTAGAGCTACATCTGGTGTACCAACCAACCCCTAATATAAGTTCAGCATGCTTTTAAAAAAACATGAGCGCAGGCCCCTCACTACATACTATCACAGCTAACTAGTTCGGCTCTCTTGGAAGACCAGTCGACTGTATTTACTCAACATACCTTCTGTCACGTTTCAATAATAAGCTCCTATCACTTCCCAAATCCTTCGCCCAATGGTGTACTCCCTATCACTGCAGAAGACGGGGAACTGCAACACATGCTTAAGAAACAAATGAGGAAAAGTAGGAGATATAGGCCCTCGTAGCTACAGTCTGTAGCAACACAGAAATCTACCTTTCGAACCAATGAACCGTCATTGTTCCGGTAACAGCATTTAATGCGCCTGCATACAAAAGATATCATCCCATTGTTCTTTTCGGACTCATCATCAGAAAAGTCCTACAAGTTCAGAGCGTTGCATCCCTCAATACAGACTGGTTCGATACTGTGGAGGACTCGTCTGTAGTTAAACAGCACAAAAGTAGAATAACATCATACATAAATTACTAAACACACCCAATAGAAACTTTATTAACTGGCAGTGACAGAAATGAATCAAACCTCAGGGTCTCTGCGCCAGCTTGATAGCTCCAATGGTTGGCGTGCCTCTTCTTCCTCATACGAATTCCCAAACAGGCTCCACCATCTGTTGTTCCTCAACAAGAAGCAGAAAGGCTTTTTGCGCAAATCCGTCGCAAAATTCAGCCCACCAATTCCTTCTTAAGCGCAGATGGCGAGCGGCTTCACAATCATAAAAACGCCATAACGCACATGTTATCTAAAAAGAAAAACAAATCCTCAGCTTCTTCAACGAAAACCCCCTTTACCTCAAGTCATCAACAACCTTCTCTCCTTTCTCAGCTATCTGTCCAGGCATCAGCAAGATGAGGTAGTTCGGAATCTGACCCCTAAGAATCCAATTCCGGCCAGGCAGCTGCCAAACCGAACCGTAAGAGTCCGCCTGGTTTCATCCTGATGATCATCACGAACACCCTTTCTCTTAGACATCAGTCGCCACCTTTGGCTTCAGCATAAATAGTAAAAAAGCTGCAATCCATAGTGGCGCGCGAAAAAGAGTCAGCATCGCGAAACGATGTCTCAATCGTCGGCTTCCTCAGAATCTCAATTAGGGCAATCCAAAAATCAAGCGCATAAAAGAAGAAAACGTTGAATCTTGACGGAACAAAAAAATTTAAAACTCACAGATTTTGCCAGCGACGAGTCGAAGGTTTCCGCCGCAGCAGTCTTCAGGATACGAAAAACAAGTACAAATAACGCTGGCGGGCTCTGCGAGAGAGAATATTCGGCATAAACTCACAGCGAGGCAGAGATAAGGCAACAGTGAGGTTCGATAAAGGATTTCGAGAGCCGACGGGTGTGCCGGATTCTCCGCCTTGCTCCAGCGCCGCGATAATCTTCCTCACCGCCGTGCTAATTCTGGCACGAGTAATCTGTCCACTGCGAAAGAAATTTTAGAAATGGGAACACGCGGCAGAGCAAAAACCACAGGCCGTAAATTTTTTTTTTTCTTTTTTAGTTTCTGATTTTTTTCTTGGCAAAAAAACCAGAGCCCGGGTTCAAGCGGAGCATATCTCTTTCATTTCTAGTAAAAAACAAATGACGCGTTAATACCTTATCATCACGTCCACTCGCCCGCCAATGCGACCAAAAGAACTAGCTACCAAGACAACCGTTATGGACGATAGCGATTGTGCGCAATTGGACAATGGACGGTGAGTATATCTGGACGTTGGAAATGGACGGTGGTAATATTGGAGTCGCAGGCGGGATAATCCGCATGGTCAAGAGTCGTAAGAAGCGTGTTCTCGTTTCAGCACGTTGGCCGGCCTTGGTGAACTCGTGCCAAGTAAAATTCGTAATTGGACCCTTGCTTTGCTTCTTAGTATTATATCTTTTTGCGAGGTCGGTTAAATGAAAACTGATGTAAATATAATAATCTAAAAAAAACTCTTACAGTTTAAAACCTGAAGCTAACGATAAATACGGCCTAAAAAGTATGAACAAATGCAGAAATTTCAAACGAGGTCAAAGGGGTCCTTATTTGCACTTAATCTCCATTTTCTAATAATCCATATTTAAAAAGGAATTAGTTATTTTGTTTGAAAAGCATAATCATAGCAGTTTGGCATGACGCAAATTTGAGCGAGAGATTATTAAGGAAAATTCCTAATAATGGAATTTCAATTACAATCATATCTTTAGACTAAAAAT